AGTGATCTTCTCAAGGGTCCTGTTTTCCAACCAGACCCTGAGGGGTGGCACCTGGGCGGGGGAGGGGGCAGGGGGGGGCAGGGGGAACATCATCAGGGCTTGTGTTATCTCTGCAGTTCTCACGGTCACTGGGGAGCCCTGCTACTTCCCCTTCCAGTACAACCGGCAGCTGTACCATAAATGTATCCACAGGGGCCGGCCCGGCCCCTGGCCCTGGTAAGACTACCCAGAAGGGGTGGGAGCCGGGGCCTGTGGAAGATGGAGCCTGCCCATCCTTCTGCCCCCAGAAGCCTGCTTGAAGAGAGGGGCTCTGACAGAGGAGGGCAGAGGAGGGAAGCTTCATCTCTTTCTACAGGTGTGCTACCACCCCCAACTTCGAGCAGGACCAGCAATGGGGATACTGCCTGGAGCCCAAGAAAGTGCAAGGTGCTACACATAGCCTTTGGGGTGGCCAGGGCCCTCTTCTCCCCACTAGTTACTCTCCTGGGTATCATCAGCACCTATACACCTGGTATTCTGGGCCCATCCAGACCCGTCCCTCCCTCTGGAGGGAAAGGTTCTAGGAGAAGGTAGCCCCATTTTGCAGGTAGGTAAACTAAAGCATGGAAAGCTGGGAGTGCCAAGGTCACAAGACAAGCAGGTTTGGGTAGGGACTTGGCCCCCCAGACCCCGGCTGTCTGACTCAGGCTCTCCACTCTTCCTTTCACTGTGTCCATCTCTCAGACCACTGTAGCAAACACAGCCCCTGCCAGAAGGGAGGGACCTGTGTGAACATGCCACATGGCCCACACTGCATCTGTCCAGAACACTTCACTGGGAAGCACTGCCAGAGAGGTAAGGAGATGGTGAAGTCAAGGGAGAGGATGCTGGGGAAATAGGGCAGTCCTGGGCCTACTGGTCTCTGGATCCCCAGGGACTTGGCAAGATCCCAGCCTCTCCTGAGACCACTGCTCCCGCTCCTCTGTCCCCAGAGAAGTGTTTTGAACCTCAGCTTCTCCAGTTCTTCCACGAGAAAGAAATATGGCATAGGCTCGAGCCAGCAGGTGTGGCCAAGTGCCAGTGCAAGGGTCCTGAGGCCCACTGCAAGCTGCTGGCCACCCAGGGTGAGTGGATGGGTCGAAAACTGGCCTGGGAGGGAAGCTGAAGGTCGGGAGGAGAAGCTGTTAGGAAATGGGGCGGTGTGTCCAAGGAAAGGGGAATTCTCTGTGGGGTCTTTGGGCCCAGAGGTGGCTCAGTGCCCTCCATCTGCCAGTCTGCCGCACCAACCCGTGCCTCAACGGGGGCAGCTGCTTAGAGGCGGAGGGCCACCTCCTGTGCCGTTGCCGCGCTGGCTACGCTGGACGCATGTGCGATGTGGGTGAGTCGTGGGTGAGTCGGGATCTTGGGGGACGCAGAAGCTCCGCCCCCAGGGAGGAAGGGCTCCGGGAGCCGGAGTCGGGTGAGTGGGGAAAGGGGCTGAGAGGGTGGTGGGAAACCATACCGCCTCCCGACTGCAAGGAGCCTCCTCTCTCCCCAGACACTGAGGCACACTGCTACGAGGGCCGCGGGCAGGATTACCGCGGTAGAGCCGCGACTGCGCTCTCGGGTGCCCGGTGTCGACCGTGGGCCTCCGAGGCCACCTATCAGAAAGTGACTGCAGAGCAAGCGCTTAACTGGGGATTGGGCAACCATGCCTTCTGCCGGTGCTCTGGATGGGGCGGGTAGGGCGTGCCCCTCTGCCCCAGGGCCCTCTGCGGCTCCTCGCGCTTTAACAGCGCTCCCTCCCGCGGTTGTAGGAACCCAGACAATGACACCCGCCCGTGGTGCTTCGTGTGGAGTGGCGACCGGCTGAGCTGGGAATATTGCCGCCTGGCACGGTGCCGGGCCCCAAGCCTGGCGGCTCCTCAGAACCTGTCTCCAACCCGGGTCCCTTCTGGGCACCCGGACCTTCCCTTGCCCTCGCTTTCGGCACTGCAGAAGCCTCAGCCCCCGACCCCAGGTAGTTGGGAAGGGACGGGAAATCGGAGGGGGCACGGCGAGCTACCTTCCAGCCCTTGATGGGTCTCCCAGCGCTCAGCCTGGGCTGCTCCCACAGCCTCGGGCGCCACGCCGGAGCAGCCCACTCCTGTGCCCAGTTCTGGCTGCGGACAGCGGCTCCGGAAACGGCTGTCCTCCCTGAGCCGCGTCGTCGGGGGCCTAGTGGCCCTGCCCGGGGCGCACCCCTACATCGCCGCGCTGTACTGGCGCCACAATTTCTGCGCGGGTAGCCTCATCGCCTCCTGCTGGGTGCTGACGGCAGCTCACTGCCTGCAGAACCGGCGAGTCCCCGCCCGGACCCTCAGCTCCTGGCTCCTACGTGCCCGGCTTCCGCGCGCCCCCGACCCCAATCATTGCCCTACCTCCCCGCCCCCTTCCCCAGCCCCCCAGAAGGAAGCTGAAACCCAGCAAAGGGCTCAGGAGCAGAAGGCCAGTGGCCTGCCCTGAGAACGCTCCCCACCCCCCGGACCCCCTCCGCCTGCAGGCCGGCGCCGGAGGAGCTGACGGTGGTGCTTGGCCAGGACCGCCATAACCAGAGCTGTGAGCAGTGCCAGACGCTGGCCGTGCGCGCTTACAGCCTGCACGAGGCCTTCTCGCCCATCACCTACCAGCATGACCTGGGTGCGTGGGGGCGCCCCCGCGGCGACCAGGGGAAAAGGGTGGGGGAGGGCTCTGAGTCCCGCGGCGTCCGGGTCTCACCCTCCTCCCGGCTTGGGTTAGCGCTGCTGCGCCTGCAGGAGACAGCGGACGGCCACTGCGCGCTCCCGTCGCCTTTCGTTCAGCCGGTGTGCCTGCCGAGCGGCGCTGCCAGCCCAGCCGAGCCCGAGGCCGCGCTCTGCGAGGTGGCCGGCTGGGGCCACCAGTTCGAGGGTAGGCAGAACGGCAGGGGTTGGTAGGGACACCTCTGGCCACTGGGGTAGGCGAGAGAAACCCGCAGTTTGGGTACCACTGGGGACAGGTGGCGCTGACCTGGTGGGTTGGGAGGACTTGCAGGGCCCTTGTTTCTGCAGTCATTCCCCTCCTGCCAGGGCCTGGGCTTCACTGCTTGGGAGGGGGGGCGGGCAAGTCTCCTAAGGAGTACAGATAGAATCACACTTTCTCTTGGTTCTTTCTGGGCACTGCGATGCAAGAACTACCAAGAATGCCGGCCTCGCTGGGGCAGTCGGTTCGCTAGTTGGGGAGCATTGTTCTGAGACATTGGGTGGGAAGTGGGGGTGGTGTTCCAAAGCAGTCCTGCTCCACCCCGCGCATTCAAATTCCGGGTCCTCTCTGGTCTCAGTTTTCTTGTCTATAAAACGGTGTTAAGAGCAACTCTCTTTTTCACGAGCTTGCTGCTATAAAGTCCAATTAGTGGGCGGCAAGCAGAGTCGCACTGGCTGTGAGGAATGCGCTTTTGGTTCGCAGGGGCGGGGGAATATTCCAGTTTCCTGCAGGAAGCGCAGGTGCCGCTCATCCCTTCCGAGCGCTGCTCCGCCCCTGAAGTGCACGGAGCCTCTTTTACCCCCGGCATGCTCTGCGCTGGCTTCCTGGAGGGCGGCACGGACGCCTGCCAGGTGAGTCCATGCGCGGGCTTGGGCTTGGCGTCCTCCTCCACGCGGTCAAGTGCAGACCCCAGACCAAGAGCGCTGAGGCACGTGTCCCCGACCCAGGGTGATTCCGGGGGGCCGCTAGTGTGTGAGGACGATGCCACAGAGAGCCAGCTCATCCTGCGAGGTATCATCAGCTGGGGTTCGGGTTGTGGCGACCGCTACAAGCCAGGTGTGTACACCGACGTGGCCAGCTACCTGACCTGGATCCAGGAGCACACCAACTCCTGAGAGTCGTCCAGGGACTCGTCGTTCCCTCCTGATCAATTCTGGAACGGAAGGGTGGCTGGCCCATGATTATGGATGGCAGGGATTGTGTTCCATTCCTCTTAGCCCCAGGCCTGGAGTAGGCACTCAATAAAGTGCTTTTGAAAATGCTTGAGAGGCACAGCTCTGCAGGGACCCAGATGGGAGACACCAAGACAGTAAACCTGTGCAGTTCTCCACACCCCTCAGGGAACAGGATCTATTGAGATCTTAAGCAAGATATTAGAGATTCATGTCCAGTGGATTTTTACTAAGCGGTACTGTGTACCAATCCCTGAGCAAGATGACTCCATATTATTTACTCTTTGTTTGAAACTAATACTAACATTGGACGTTTCTAGAACAGAGGTTCTCAACCTCTACTGTACACCAGAATCATCTGGGGAGCTTTTTGAACCTATGCCTGAGATCTACCTCGGATCAATTAAATCAGTATCTCTAGAGTTGGGGTGTGGGTAGTGATATGTTTTTATATCTCTCTGGGTGATTCCATATGCAGTGGAAGCTGAGAACCAGGGCCAGAAAGGCTTAACATTAAAACACGGGTGTGGACTTAGAGCTGGCAATATAGAAGATACCCCTTCCCCCCACCAACTTGCACTAGGGCAGTGGGGCTCAAAGTGTGCCTGGACCAGCAGTCCCAGCATCAATGGGGAACTTGTTAGAAACGCATTTTTCTCTGGCTGCCTCCCATACTACTGAATCAGAAACTCTTGAGTTGGGACCCAGCAATCTGTTTAACAGATTTCCAGGAGAGTCTGATGTTCCTAACATTGAACCAAACTGGGGATTCTGGGGTTTGAATGGTTACTAGGCTGCGAGGTCTAGCTGTCCAGACTTGCTCTTTTTGTTCTTAAACCCATGTGTAGGCTGTGCGTGGTGAGCCAATTAAGTTAGCTTCTCAAGGGTTATATAGAGAGACGCGATTTCCTCTTTTAGGCTAACTTTCCAACTTCACCACGCCTTCCCCTCGCTCCACATACACATTCTCCAGTGCACGCAGCCTCTCTGTGACATCGCCATGCCTCAGTGTCACAACCCGCCCCGACATGCGTCACAGTGCCTGGGGTTCCAGGCACCGGGAACAGCCGGATAGCCCGGGAAAGTGCGGCCAGACGCGAGGAGCGCACTCTGAGCCGGAATGGGAGACTGGAAGGGCTATATCAGTGCGGTGTTGCGTGACCAGCGCATTGACGACGTGGCCATCGTGGGTCACTCAGACAATCGCTGCGTGTGGGCATCGCGCCCCGGAGGCCTTCTGGCTGCCATATCGCCGCAGGAGGTGGGTGTGCTCACAGGGCATGACCGGCGCACCTTCCTGCAGTCGGGCCTCAGCGTGGCGGGCCGCCGCTGCTGCGTCATCCGCGACCACTTGCTGTCTGAGGGCGATGGAGCTCTGGACGCGCGCACCAAGGGGCTGGATGGGCGCGCGGTCTGCGTCGGCCACACCCCGCGCGTGCTCCTCGTGCTCATGGGCCGGCGCGGCGTGCACGGGGGCATCCTCAATAAGACGGTGCATGAACTGATCAAGGGTCTGCGCAAGCAGGGCACCTAGCCGGACAGCTAGGAGGCGGGGCGGCATGGCCAAAATAAATGCTGGGCGTGGCTGGCTCATCCTGTATTTGCGCACAGGGCAGTTGCAGATGAGGAGACCAGTTTCCCTGGAAGATTCTTGCAGGCAGGGTTATGTGATGGGGCTGGGATTCTGAGTCCAGAGGCTTCCCAGCCTCCCGTACCCTAGACCCGGCCCTCCTACCCATCAGTGCCCTGTATAAACCCCTGGCCTGATTTCCCAGAGTCCTTTCCCAAAATAACTTTCCACACCTGTGTGCAGGACACACTATAAAGGGAGCCCCTCCCACATCCCTCCCCAGGTGCACCCCAGCCTGGCCCTATGGGGTGTCAGGGAGTCAGGAGGAAGGCTGGAGGGCGGTGCACTTCTCACCCCCTCCACTTGGCAGGAGGAAGCCTTTGCAAGTGTTGTGAGTGGATGATGGAATAGGGCTGGCAGCTTGGAGAGCAGCTCTAGGGCTCTCAGGTTCTTGGGTCTCCTTCCACATACCCCAAAGGGAGTGGAAGGAGAGCACATGTCCAAGACCATCACAATGAGGTCTGAGGCCCTAGGGTCTTCCTCCCTTCTTGGAGTCCAAAGACCCCAGAGGATTCCCTGGACTAGAAGGAACAACTTAGGTATTGCCCATCCCTTGACCCTCACTCTGCAGGCCTCAGCTCCAGGGCCCCCATGGAAAGGGAGGAATTGAAAATCTTGGATGAGTTTAAGTGAGGCTTGGTTTATTGCCCAAAGGGAAAGGACAAAGATGGGAGGGAGGGTGGCTGGTCCCTGTCCACTATGCTCCAGGGCCCAGGGCATGGCCTCTCTTGCCTATTTTCACCTTCCCTGCCCCCCCACCCCATGTCTCCTGACAAGCCCCCACCTGTCACTTGTTTTCTGGAACACTAATGTTATCCTAGAAAGGGGGAGGGAGTCAGCTGGTTGGGGTGGGTGGGGATGGCACAGAATGCCCTCCTTATACTTGCCTTGGGGGTGGCCCCGGCCCCTAGGAAGGACTCCCAGGAAGTCTGAATCAGGAGTTGGACTCATTAAGGCAGGGTGAGGTGGACTGTTGTGGTGAGCTTGCAGGAAATAGTGCTGCTGAACCCCAAGCCATGGTCTCCCTCCCTCCCCAGATGGAGAGCACACAGAATTGTAAATGCATAATGAGGATGTAATTCCTTTTTCATCACACAATATCGGGAAAGGGGGTTGTGGCAGTACTGCAGAACAGCAGGGTGAGGATGAGGAGGGTGGTATAATGGAGGGAGGAAGGTGACAGGGAGCATGAGAACTCAGCCAGTGACTCAGGCACCCGCATCTCTGCACAAGCAAACAGCTGCAAGTCCCATTCTCGGACCCACCCTTACTCCCGCTCTGCCGAGTTGGACTTGTGTGTACAGGAGAGCCAAGCACAGGCCTCCAAACAAGACCCCCCCAGGGGCCAAGGACTCACAGTCATAGCCAGGTACCCTGCAGCCTGCTCACAGCCCCCCACGGGTGCATTAGTCCACACACCCAGGATGCCACAGACTCTCAGTCCCACAAGCCCAGACCTCTGTGGACCCACCCAAGGACAGGCCCATGCCCGGTGTGCTCGGACACACCCTTCTGCCCGTCCACACCGGGCACCCAGTGCAGGCCCTTCTCTGCCCCCCAGCAGCACTTTGGGCTAGAGGCGGGTGGCGTTGTGTCGAGCGGGTTGTGCCAGGCAGGGGGAGGGGGTGGCGGGGGGCAGCTCCTCCAGGAAGACCCTGGCGGGCAGCGGTGGGGAACGGGGCTCAGGCCTGGCACAGCACAGCGTGGCACGGGTGATGAGGCGGTCCAGGGGCTGCAGCGAGTGCATCCAGCGGGGCAGAAAGTCCCATGTCTGCAGCCACTTGGGCAGGTGTCCAGGGCTGCGGTTCTGCAAGACGCTGACGAGCACCACAAAGGCCAGCAGGGCCCCGAAGGGTGCGCCCACACCCACCATGGCCTGCCAGCCTGCCATGGAGACGCCGAACACCAGCGAGGGCAGCAGCAGGAAGCACAGGAGGAGGTAGAGGACGGCAAACCAGCGGTACTTGGCTGTGCGTTTGCCCAGCGCCTTGGCCATGCGGATGGGCAGGCGCGTGCAGGGCACCGGGTACCACAGCAGGATGCCCGAGATGTTAAAGAAGAAGTGGCAGAGGGCGATCTGTAGAGGAGAGGGCAGAGGGCTGAGATAGACGTGGGCCCCCGCTCCCTGTCCTGCCAGCACTGCTGGATAACGGGAGCCTGGCCCGGCCTGGGCAGCAGCAAAATCAGGGCTGATGTGCTCCTAGGAAAATACTGAGACACTTCTGCCCTAACGCTACACATTTCCTCCCACTGACCCCTCTCGCAAATTCCCCAGCAGATCCTCCTGAACCCAGCAGCAAAGAGAAGCATACTAGTTTCTGGCTCCATGGCTCTGGCCTCCTGATTGGTCCAAGCCCTGTCCCCTAGGCTTGTCCTCACTCCTTTGCTCCTAGGACAGCAACCCCTTTGCCATCTGCCCCCCTACTTGTTCTTGGTCCCCGAGAATGGCCCAGCCCCCTGCCCTGCTGCACCCCTTCCTCAGAGCGCAGATCCCACTAGCTGCTATTTGCGTGATTATCTAGGTAAATCCTGCCTGGTAGATGCTAAGGTCTTGGGGCTGGCACCAGGCCGACTTTGCCCCATACGGTTTCCACAGAGCTTGGGATAGTGGGTGGGCCTTAGGAGGCAGTCAGAAACTTTGATATGTGATGTCCTACCCTGTGCAGGTGCCACACCTCAGTCCCAGCCCTGTCTCGCCCCTGGCAGGCACCCCCCCAGAGTACCTGGAAGGAGCTGGACAACTTCTCCCGGGGGCTGGCCAGTGCAGCCAGGATGGCCGTGGTGGTAGTGCCAATGTTGGAGCCCAGCGTGAGGGGGTAGGCTCTCTCGATGCTGATCACACCCAGGCCTGGGGGCAGACAGAGAGGCTAGGTTCACCCCCAGGCCCCTCCTTTGGCCCTTTCCCTACCAGCCTGCCCATCCCCCTGCCCCACCATGCCATGGGCACTCACCGATGAGTGGGGTGATGGCCGAGGTGAACACAGAACTGCTTTGGACAACGAAGGTCATGCCGGCGCCCACCACCATGGCAAAGTAGCCTGTGGCCCAGGTGAAGGGGGCGGGGAAGTCTACGAGGACACCCCCATCCCAGCAGGGTCAGGAGGAGGGCATGGGCAGAGAAGCCAGGACCTACCTTAGGGAGGAGGTATTGGGTACCAGCTTGCAGGTGGGGCCTTGTCTGTCCAGTCCCCTGCTCAACTGTGGGGGCTTCTACTCGCCCTCCCTGGTCTTGGATTAAAGGCCCTTCTCAGCCTGGTTGCATCAGACTACTGGTTGACTGTCCTCTCTGCCCAGAATATCCTTCTTTCTTCGTGTTCCTCCTCGGGGCTTCGTGCGGATACATGGCTGCTGAAAAGCCCTCCCTGACCCTCGGCCCTCTGGCAGACTTTGTTTCTCCCATCCCTAAGCTCTCAGAGATCCACGAATGCACCTGACTCCAGCATTCATTATGCAACCTCTGCCAGTGCCGGGCACCATCCCCGGAGCCTGAAATGAAGCTTGCGATGAAAATCAGACCATGTCACTCCCCTGCCCCAACCCTTCAAGGGCCCCCAGTACCCTTACTGAAGTCCAGGCTCTGATCACAGCCTGTGGGGGCCCCCGGGGTCGGCTCCTTCCCTGTGATCTTGCTGACCTCTCCCCACCTCGATCACTGAGTTCCCCCCACGCTGCAGGCCATCTTTCTGCCCAGCTTGTTCCCGCCTCTTTGCCTTTGCACTGACTGTTCCCTCTGCGTAGAACACTCTTCAGCCACGTCTGACTACTATTCCTCATTTCGGCCTCTTCACATAGGCTGCTGACTGCCCACTGAAAGCAACTTTTTCCATACTCTGTCATTTTTGCTTTCTCCTTGGGAGTCACCCCTCAGTATGAATGTATGCCGCCTCGATCATTTATTTTTCATTACACATCTGTCTCCTCCTCTGGGTTGGGAATCCCCTGAGGGTGGGACCATCTCTGGGGCTCAGCTCTCGACCCTTGGCACCGCGGCATGCTCCATGCTTGGGCACACGGGTGTAGGGAGTATTTGTTGAATGCGTCCGTGGCCACTGAGAATCTGTTTTGAGCCACCTACTGGAATGGAACCACAGTCAGGGGCAGCCACAGATGCCTGGCTGCCGGCACCTCGGGAGCCTCAGAAATCACCTGACTCAACCCCTTCTTTGTTCTCAGGGAGAAACAGGCTCAAGATGGCAGGGCTTTGCCCAGATCACACAGCAAAGCAGCAGTGGGACTTAGTAAGATTTGAAAGGTCCCATCCTGGGGCCCACACGTGCAGTTCTTGGGGGCTCACCTGTGTTGATAACCTTCTGAATGACCTTAGCCACCTGGCCCTTCAGCAGAGAGTTGAGCATCTTGACAAGGAGAATGAGGCAGGTGCACAGGAGCACCAGGGAGCCGGCCAGCAGAATGAGCCCCACGGCCAGGTCAGGCAGCCCTGTGTCCACGAAGATGTGGTTGCCTGGCAGGGAAAGTGTCAAGCAGCTGAGAACTGAACCCCACAGCTGGTTCCCAGCCCCCCACTTTTGATGCCTTCTTGGGATTGGAGCCTAAAGTCCCACCCCAGGCTCCTTTAGCCTCAACAGCAAGGCTTAGCCCAAGCCCAGGACCTGAGCTGGTTGATAGCTGGTTTTCCTGGGACTGATAGCAGCAGTGGCGGGGGGCAGGGGTGGGTGCAGCCCTTCCTCTGCCCAGCTGTGCCCCTGCCATGCCAGACATCTGTGATGCAGGCACTCACATTTCTCCATGGTGGCATTTCCAAGGGTCCAGCTGGTGTTGGCCTCTGCCCTGGGCAGGGGGGTGGGAACCTGGATTAAGAGAAGAGTGACTTAGAATTTAGGAAAATGTAGCCTGGGGTTGGAGATAAGGGGGAAGGTTAGGGAGGGGCGGGGGGGGGGGGGGGGGGATAGAGGTGGTCCTCCTGACTACATGCCCTTGGACAGTTGGCCTTTCTCCTTTGCTGGAGAGTTGGGGGTGGAAATACCTGCCACACGAGAATCTGGCCACGGTCAGCCCTCTCTGAATATTCTGTCCTATCCATCTTCCCATCCGGCTCTCACTGGGGCCCACAGGGATTTTATTTATTTATTTGAGAGAGAGAGAGCACGAAGAGAGGGGGTTGAGTCAGAGGGAGAAGCAAACTCCCTGCTGAGCTGGGAGGCAATGTGGGACTCTATCCTAGGACTCCAGGATCATGACCTGAGCCTAAGGCAGTCACTTAACCAACTGAGCCACCCAGACACCCTAATCCTGTGGCTTCTTGTCCTCGTTCTCCTCAACCTCTCCTTGGCCTTGGGTGCTTCTGACCATGGACCTCCTTATGAAAACTCTCCCTTCCCCATCCTTTATTACTGGCCCTCTCCTGGTGTTGCCCTGCCCCCTTCCCCAGCATCTGTGCCCCATCCTCTCGCCTGAGGCACCATTAGTCCAAGCTCCACTGTCCTCTTGCTCAAATCCTTATGGGGAAGGTTGGGGTATGGGGAAGGGGGACCACCAGGGGGCAGAAGTCCAGTCCCCACCTACTTCCTACCCACATACTCAGTGGGGAGAGGCCCCCCCAATTCAGAGGGCCCAGGGCCAGGCAGGTAGCCTAACTGAGGCGCTCAGGCTGAGCGTGGAGGAGGTGGAGGACTGCATTTTGGGCCTATAGGGGCAGTAGCCACTCAGCTCCAGGCCGCTGTCGCCATCCAGGGATGAAGCCCTGCATGGCCAAATGGCCCGAGTCTGCAAGAGAAATCCCGTTCTTTACAATTATGCGAGGGCCACATGGGTCTGGACCACTACTTCGCAGCCTCATTGGACTGAGGAATTATTTTTTCTTGAATGTAATTGGGGAGCCTTTCCTTGCCCTCAGGATCCCAGCCCAAAGGAAGAACTGAGCCCCAGAAAGGGACAAGAACGCCTAGGGCCCCAGGCAAAATCCCAGAGCTACGACTTTTCCTTATTCACCCTCTGCCACCTCTGAGAGCTGATATGGGCACTGATCCCAGAAGTCCTGCCCTCCACAGCACAGCCCCAGACCTTTCCTGTGCTGTGGGTCATGTCTCAGGTGGGGTAGTGGCCCTTCAATGTCATGGCTCCTTTAGGGTTTATTCCAAATCATGTCATTTATAAAATGTATGCTAGAAATGAGAACTATTTCTGGCACCTGGCTTGAAATCTGGTTTCTCTTAGTGGCCTGAGCTGCTGTGAGTGAGGCAGTATGCTCATCTGTGTTCTAGCTGGCCAGACTAGGGCCCTGAGGCACCCTCAAACCCAGGCCGCCATTGCAAGTTGAGAAACTAAGAGAGTTCTGGTGGGCTCCGCCGGAAAAGCAGGCTGGGGAGGCTGTGGGTAACTGCTGTGTGGGTAGGCGAGAGCTGGGTGTAAGGGGGAGAGCCGTGTGTCAGCTGTCCAGTGGATGTGAGCAAGTCCTGTTTCTTGTGCCAACGACCTGGGACAAATCATGCCACCTCTCAGCCTGTTTAAAGCAGATGACATGAGAGCTGTTATAAAGGGGTGCCTGGGTGGCTTGTCAGTTAAGCCTCTGCCTTCGGCTCAGATCATGGTCCCGGTGCGCTGAGATCGAGCCCCACGTTGGGCTCCTTGCTCAGCGGGGAGCCGCCTTCTCCCTCTCCCTCTGCTGCTGCTCCCCCTGCCTATTCTCTCTCTCTCTCAAATAAATAAATAAATCTTTAAAAGAGAGAGAGAGAGAGAGAGCTATTGTAAAGGTTACGGGAGGAAATGTGTGCCAAGTGCTCTCCTCAGACTTATCTCATGTTAAGTCTTCAGTAAGACATCATGCCTCCTAATCAGGATTAGACCCCCTCCATCCGTGGGCCCATCTAGGACCACATGGTGGGAAGAGCATGTGCTTATGTGTTTGTGTGAGATTGATGTCCTAGGTCAGGAACAATAGCTCCTGCCGGTGTGTCTCAGGGTCCTGGCCCTGTTGGGGAGCACTGTGGTGGACCAGCTTGGAGCCCTGGGCAGATGATCCCTGAGATAAATGGGTACCTGACCAGCCTGTGCCCCACTGACCTGGCTGGGCCCAGGGTCTCTTAGGGGAGGAACTTCAGGGGAGGGGTTATCATCTGACTCAGGGCTGGCTGTGTGTGGGCAGGGCAAAGCTGAGGGCTAAAGTCTAGGGTTTTGACCCTAGATCTTCCTGCCAGGGTTTTGTGCCTCTGGCTGGGGTTATGTGGCTCTGGCTGAGCGGGTGGGGGGGGGGGGGGGGGTAGAATGCAGAGACTGTAAAGGGCTAGAGAGGAGTAGGGGTGGGGATGCCAGAGAGTGGGTAGACTGCATGGTCAGGCTGAGAGTGGGTACTGAGTGAGGTAGTAGGGAGGTACTGAGTGAGGGAGCAGGCCCAGGGCTTCCTTGTCAAGAAGGTGGGAGCTCTAGCCCTGACAAAGAACTGGGCAGCCCAGGGTCTGGGACATACCCCTAGGTGTGCCCATCCTTCCTGGGCCTGGGGGTGTGGTGGGAGGGGTGAGTTCTGTGGGAAGAACAGAATAAATGAGCCCCAAGAGTCCTAAGCTGAAACTCCATCTGAGCCACTCCCAGCTGTGTGATACTGGACCAAACACCGAACCTCTCTGGGCCCCAGTTTCCTTCCCTTGCAGCATGAGGTCTATAACGCTGCCCACCGCTTCCCAGGGGCTTGTTTTGAGGACTCTTGGAAGAGAGTCAGGACTTAAGTGCCAGTGGGAGGTGCAGGACACGATTAAGCTCACAGAAGACTGTGACTCTCCAAGAATCCTCTCCCTGGGAGAAACACACAGGATGCGAGCCTGTGCTGTAGTTCAGCCTGAAGCAGATGGGAAGCTCAGTGTCTTTGTTTTTCGGGAAGCAGAAATCACCGTGCCAGCTGCGCCATCTGGTGGCCAAGATGAGAACTTCTTAGAGCCGCACCTACCGCCGCCGGAGCAGTCTCTGGGTGGCTGTGGTCAGCTGTGGCATTCAGGCCCGATGGGCAGAGTGGGAAATGGACACACATGATGGGACACCAGACTGACTTCTGGAAGAGGCAGCGAGATGGAGGTTCAGAAGCATGGGCTCCATATTCCACCAGGATTTTCATCTTATCTCCATGGTATGGATTTGGGCAAGCCTCTCTGAGCCTATAAAATGGACCAGAGATAAATCCTGTGTCCCTGGCTGCAAGTCCTTGAGGAATGCTTGTTTAAACCAGGCAAGCAGGGTTGGCAGTCCATAGTGTGAGTACATAAGAAGGTAATTCCCAGGACAAGGGTAGGCCCCTGGAGTGTCAAGAGGTTTTGGAACGTTAAAATTGTCTCTGGGTTTTCTTCCACCATCTGGAAACCTTCAGATTCCCAATACTGTCTTTGGTGACTGGGTTTCTTGGAGACTGGCTTGGGTGAGGTTGGGTCCAGTTGGGGGGAAAGCAGGAGGCCACCAGGAGAGGTTGGAAGGGAGACACAGTGGTCACAGGAAAAGTTCCAGTCTGGTGCAGGAAGAGCCCCCAGCACACATGGCCAGAGCAGGCACATGGCTACGGATCCATGTTCCACATGGTCTGACCTAAAGAGGGGGTGAGAAAAGGGAGCCTGAATGCCACCCATCTGCTACCCTTCAAGCCAGGGAAATCCCATCTGGATTCTGTTGTGGCGGACCCATTCTTCTGGGACAGAGGGCTGGGAGACCAGCACTCAGGGAAGCTATGTGGGGAGCAGTGGGGACAGCGCCCTTGGCGGGTGAACTCGGGCGGCTGACTTCACTCGAGCAGGCCCGGGTTTCTCCTGCGGAAGATGGGTTGTCCTTGTCCACCTTGCCCTACTTTGTGAGGATTCCAGCACGGGCAGGCAGCGTCTGGTGCACCTGTTGCAGCGGGGAGGCCGGCTGGGCACAGCTGCAGGCAGGCACCAGGGAGGGACTCTGCGGCCCAGGAGCTCCCGCCCGTGGCTTGTTTCCTGTGAAGATCGAGCGGTGTGATGTCTCTGTCACCCCCATTCTGCTATGGAGTGAAGAGGATTTGGGCAAGAGAGTGTGCCCAGGGGCAGGCAAGAAGACAGCACCATGTTGCAGGGGTCACAAAGCCAGCCTGAGAGCTGCCCGCATGGGCTTTTTGATGTCCGACTGCCTGGAACACTCAGAAGTGCCAGACCAGAGCTGCACGCGGTTCCGATGCAAAGGAAGGCACCGCAGAAGGCGGGTTGAAAGGCTGCTCTGTGTTCACGCTGGGATCAAGGGCCAGTGATATCAAGTAGCAAGTAGGAAGGAGGAGGGGGCCGGGCCTGCTGAGCCCTGGGCTTCGGGTTGCCTTCGCTCTGTTCTGAATGGAGTTGCTTCTTGGATGTGGCAACTGAGGTAAAGCAAATACCGTGGATCAGGGTTTTGATGAAGCACTTCCTTTCCATGGCTGAGTGAGAAAGTGTGCTGATCGCCTGCTTTCTTGTGAGCCTGGTGTCATGGCAGGTGCACAAGCGTCCCACGGATCCAAACAGGTCTCCATTCCGTGCAGTAGAAATGGTGCAGAAGGACACATGGATGCATGCCTGTGGCAGTCTCCAGGGGAAAGAGCCCCGACAAGAGTACAAGTCGCTGTTGTGTCTCCAGGGAGGTCTCCACACGGCCCCCTTGTCTTGTTCCTGTTTGTCCAGCTTTCCCAGGCACCTTCATAACCCCTTCACCCCCTCACCACATTACCTGGACCCCCAAACGTGGCACAGCTGGGTCACGAACCCCTGGCATCTTGGCGGGGAGAAGAGAGCCCTAGACTGCTAGACCTGTCCTCAGGGCCCTGAAATGGTAGGACAAGCTCGGGCAAGTGTCTCAGCCTCTCAGAGCCTATTCTCTCCCTGTGAAGCCAGAAGGTAGAGCCAGATTAGTGGTTCTCGAACTTGAGCACGGAGCTGACTGAGAAGACTTGTTGAAACATAGGCTGCTGTGTCCCATCCCCCCAAATTTTTTCTGATAGTTTTCCCTAGACCTACTTAGGTCTAGGGAAAGGCTGAATATCTTGTAGCTTTAATAGGTTCCCAGGTGGTACGAGTGCCTCTGGTCCACACTTTGAGAACCACTGGGCTAGATCAATGACATGCCAACTCAAGTTGATTGGTAATAACTCCCCAAAGCCGCTGGGGGACTGGAAGGGATTGGCACAATATTCCTTTGGCCAGACCTGAGACTCACCCCGGTGGGGTCTGGGTGGCACCAGATCCGGATCAGACTGTGGTTTCTCAGGGACTCGTCGCCGGTGGCAATGCTGGTAATCACAGATTTGTCCAGCTGTGCACAAGATGTGGGTGGGGGGTGTGAGGGAGGGGTCCTTACTATCCCACATCACCCTCCACACCAGCCTTGCCCCACCTGGATGATGAGCTTGGTGAAGGGCTCTGTGATGATCTTGAGCAGGTCGGGGGCATCTTGGCCACCATGGATGTTGAAGGAGGCGACCACCAGTCGAGTAACATGGTGCAGGTACCCGGTGGCAGCCTCCAGGGGCAGCAGGACCAGAACCGACAGCCAGTTAAAGCAGTCGTGCACCGTGGCCCCTGCAAAGGCCCTGGGCAGGGAGGCCACGTTGCAGGGCGGGCCGGGGTCAGGATGCACTTCGGCTGGGGGCTCCTGGCCCTGGGGACCACCCTCCCCCAACACACACAGGCCCCTCACCACTCTACCCCCTCACCGCCGGAAGTCAGTCCTGTCCCCTGCCTGCATCAGGGCCACGATGGTGTTGGTGACAGATGTGCCGATGTTGGAGCCCATGATGATGGGGATGGCAGAGCTCACCTCCAGCACTAGCAGAAGAGGGGACCCCTTCACTGACTGTGTGAGGGCCACCAGCTCCTGCCCCGGAAACACCTGCCCACATCCCAGCCCCACTGGGCAGTCCTGCCACGATACTGCCCAGCCTTGGTGTCCCAGGGACACGTGTGTGAACAAGCACGGTGGACAGATGCACTGTGTGTGCACGTGTGGATCCGAGGGCCCATGTCCTGCACGCGGAGACAGTTCTGTGCCCATGTGTGCACGGTACACGAGCGTGGTGGTTAGTTTCATGAGTCGGCTTAGCCAGGCTACAGGACTCAGTCATTCGATCCGATGCTCATCTAGCTGCTGCTGGAAGGTATTCCACAGGTGTGATTCGCCTCCACAACTGGCTGACTTTAAGTGAAGGGGATCACCCTTGGTGATCTCAGTGGGCCTCATCCAGAGAGATAAAAGGCCTTAAGAGCAAAACGGAGGCCATCCAGCATTGGCTTCCCCCCGAGAGTTCCAGCCTGCCCTTCCTAACAACCTGCCCTATGGATTTTGGATTTGCTCAGCCAGCCCCACAATCATGCAAACCAATTCCTTGCCATAAATCATATGTATAGCTCCAGCAGGTTCTGTTTCCCTGGCCAGTGGAATAAGTGACTATGGGTGATAAGGTGCTGAGCCTTCCTGGGGCAGGACTCCCCATCTGCCACCCTTTCCAGATCTTCAGACACCCCTCCTGGCTGAGACTATTCCTGGCCACAGCTTGGAAAATAGAGTGCGAGAAGCTGGAGTCCTGCCCTTTGCTCTTAACTCCCTGGCCCCCTTCTCCCCCTGGCCCCAGCCCTGACATGCTGCATCAGCCCCCTCCAGGGCATGCAGCCCCCCACGCCCTTTCCCTAGCCCCAGCGGGCCGACTTACAGCCAGAGGAGACCATGCTGACGACGATGGACGTGGAGGTGCTGGAGCTCTGGACCAGCACGGTAACCAGAATCCCTACCACCAGCCCCGCGACGGGGTTGGACAGGATGGCATTGTCCTTGAAGATGTCACCAGCCACCTTCCCTGAGGAGCAGGAGCCAGCATTGTGTGATGCCCTTCAGGAACCCTGTCCCAATCCCCTCCCCTGGCCCTACCTCCAGCCAGCTGGAAAGCGGAGCTGAGCACGTCCAGGGAGCAGACGAAGAGGTAGAGAAAGGCGAGCATCAGGGGCACCTTGACGAGGGTCATGCCAGCCCGGCGCAGCTTCTGGGCCAGCCCAGGCTCTGGAGATGGGCTGGTCATGAGCATTGGGGCCAGGGGCTAGGGCACTGAATGTTGCCACCCCTGCTGTCCACCCCCGGCCCGGGCCCACCTGGCCTCTGCTCCTCCTCCAGGGCCAGCTTGGCAGGCAAGGCATCATGGCACTCCAGAACCTCCCCGTAGGGGCAGCTGTGATCGGTAAGGGCCACAGGGCCCAGGCTGGGGAAGGCGTAGGTGGAGGTCCCTGGGATCCTGTGCAGGACTGGGGAGGGAGGCTGGTTAGGAGTTCCCAGAAGCCCCGGGATAGGCTCAGAGGGGTGGACACCTCACTGGGACTTGAGCGACTGTGGGCATTCAGGGTCCAAGGATGGGAGGACCACTCACCCTGAGGGCTGGGCACGTAGGCAAAGGCTGTCCCGTGCATCATGTGGCCCCCTCGGACTGGTAGTGGGGAGACAGCCGGGCCCCCCAGCCTCTCTCCATAGGACATCATCCTGGGCACACACTGTGGGGCGGCAGCAGCACTGAGGGACAGCTATTGTCCTGGAAACTTACACATACCCACCCACCCACTGTCCACATCCATACCCACGTACTCACACGCACACATACCCGTGGTGTGTGACCCCTAGACGCACACCCAGGGAAGTATGCCCTCTACCCCATAATAGCAGAGATGCTCAGGTCCTCGGGCCAGATGCTTATACTCATCAGGCAGTGAGTATTTATGAAGAATCTGCTGTAGCCTGGGCACTGGGCTAGACGCTGGGGTAGAGCAATGGCTAAATACAAGGACAGCTCCTGCCCCCAGAAAGCTCCAAGTCTCACGGGGAGACAGATGTCAATGAAATAATCCCTTGAATAGAAAGTGACAATAGGGCCAAGGGTTCTAATGACAGATACAAGTGCTACCAGTGTGCCCCATGGCAGGGGGTGGAGGGGAGAGAGGATCAAGCTGAGATAAACATGAGTAGGAGGGGCCGGATGGCAAGGGACAAGGGCGTGGGTGCAGGGGACCTTGGAGGGGAAGGAGCTGGGAGCACCCTGCAGGCAGCGGGGGCCAGGGAACGTGTGTTAGCCGAGCTTGTAGATATGGGCCAAGGCTGCACATGCAGGAGGAGTTCCGACTGTCCTGAGAGCCATGAGGAGACCTGGACACCTGTTGGCTCTTGGGACCAGCTGGACATGCACTCAGGAAAGGGTCTACTGGCCACAATCCTGAGTTCCTGGGTTACCCTCCAACTGAACTTCTTTCCCCATTTGCCTCCCTCCCTCCTAGCAATAAACAAACACTGATGGCCTTTCTCCCATGAATGAGTTTCAGACCAAGGCTGGTTTAGGTAAGGAGGTTTCCCTGTATTATCTCCAATCTGTGAAGCCCTTGGCTTGCTTTAGGGCCCCTTGAACTGCCCCAGGAGTTCTTGGTTGTTGGGGTGGGAGTACCCCAGCCTATATCAGCTACCCACAATCCCACACCCCAGGGGCCCTTGGCTGTTTGGAGGAGTGGGAGGCTGAGCTAAATTCCAAGTGCTGGAAGAGCATGAGTCCTCTTTCCTTTGGGGCAGGGGGTAAGCCAGTCTAGACTGGGCCCGAGCAGGAAGGGGAAGCAGAATTAGGGTAGAGGAGAGGAACAGGGGCGATGGGCTATTGCCTACTAAGACTTGGGGATGTGTTTGGGAGAGGGGAGCCCTGGGCTTACCTTGGGGTTCTGTGTTTCAGCTCCTGCTTAGCTGCTTAAGGAAGCCCCAGGGGCCTGAGGAAGGGCTAGGACCCTCCTCTTTATACCCTTGGGTCAAGGGCAAAGTCCTAAAACCCTAGCTGCCCTCCCTCTGTTCCCCGATTAACCTCCCCCCCTGAGATTCCTCCCAGTTAATTACTAATCGTCAGCTCTGCTGGGGGAGTCTGTGATCAAACTCTCCCTTTCCCCACACAGAAACTCAACCTTACAGAGACCCAAACCCAGCTAGGGTACCTCTTCTGCCCCCAAGCAGAGACCCTGATGCCACTTAGGCACCTTATTCCCATGGTCTTCAAGGAAATTTCACGGCTCCAGTCCCTTCCCCTCATTCTTGGCCTAACACGACTCCCCGTGGAATAGCCTTGCCATGCATCTGGATGTCTGTGGGTCTGTCTGTGGGTTTTGGGGGCATTTGGAGGAGAGGGAGCATGCGATGGAAGAAGTAACAGGAGAGAAACCCAGAAAGGCTGCATAGTGCTGAGTCAGGGAGAGTCTCTAGCCTGAAACCACAGATCCAGGATTCGTCTGAGAGAATGTGGAACCCCTGGTCAGATCAGGAAGGGCCTGGTCTGCATTCTAGAATGGTCTCTTTAGCGGTAGGTTGTCCGTCAAAGGGGCAAGTCTGGAAGCATAGGGACCAGCTAAGAGGCTGATGAGATGGTCTAGAGAAGAGATGATGAGGTCTGAATCAAGTGGAACAGGAGGGATGAGGAGAAGATCCATCCCAGGGATACTTGGGTAGTGGAATGGGGGAGGGGGAGCATGGCAGACAGATGAACTATATGACAGTTGGGTTTCTGGATTGAGATGCTGATGATGGTATGGGGTCTGTTGCAAAACTCCGGAAACCCAGAGAGGGCTCTTAGGGAGGCTTGTTTCCCTTTCACAGGACTCTGGAGCTTGAATTAGGGCCCAGGTGTACAAGAGAGATGAGAGAGATATTCCCTTCTGAGGGAGAAAGATTCAACAGATCCAGCGGGGGTGGGTTCCACTCAAAATCTAGCTTGGACAACTGCCTGAGTAACCTGTGCAACCACCCGTCCACCCATCCATCCATCCACCCACCCCCCCTGGCTACCTAGCCAGCCAGTCATGTGTCCGTCCCTCCATTCCCAAGAACAATAGTTGAGTTCCTACTCTGTGCTGAGCCAAGATTGGCTAGGTCAGCTCTCTCCTGTCTAATCCCTGGGTCAGGCTGGGTGCTGAGGCAAGTCACTTCGAGTATAAGGTGGCAATCAGAGGGGCACCTGGGTGGCTCAGTCGGTTAAGTGTCCCACTCTTGATTTCAGCTCAGGTCATGATCTCAGGGTTGTGAGATGTGAGATCGAGCCTCGCATCGGGTTCTACACTTAGTGGGGAATCTGCTTGGGATTCTCTTTCCATCAGCACCTCCTGCTCATTGATTCTCTCTCTCTCTCTCTCTCTCTCTCTCAAATAAATAGATTAAAAAAAAAATAATAAAATGGCAATCAGCAGTTCTTTTGCAGTGGGTTGAATTCAGTGAGCTAGCTAACCCATCTCAGTGACTAGAAGAGTCCCTCAGCATGTGCGTTCTCTTCATGCTTGTGTGCCCCTCTTACTGTCCCTGGGATGGCTGCAGTGTCCCCACCAAGGGAACGGCTCCACTTCCTCTAGATTTGCAGCCCTATTTCAGGTCAACAACTTGCCTGGGCTCCCCGGTTGCCCTTTGATTGCTCAGGGTCTCCCTGAGTTGCAGCCCATTATATCTTACATATATTGGGGTGACACAAATCTAGCCTTTCTCATCAAGGTGGGTGGACGTTTCTGCACAGCTCCCCTCTAATGTGACAAAAGTCAACTAGTTTGTACTTAATTTGCAGGACACTGTGGGGTTGTCCGCTGGCTAGTGTTCATAATGGAGTCTCTGTCGGAGTGGTTAAGAGCAGACAACAAGGCCAGCCTGGGTTTGGATCCCGGCCCCTCCACATTGTGGCTGTGTCAGTTTAGGCCACAGAAGCCCCAAGGGACCAGGGAGGGGTGGGCAGAGGGGCAACTGGATTGGTTTTGGGTAGAGTGACCATAAGTCCTGGTTTGCCTGGCCAAGTCCTGGCTGATGACTGTTGGCCCAGAGTTCCCTTTCACTTAAAAAATGCCCTGGTTTGGAAAATCAGCCATAGAGCCTTATGACCTGTTCTGGGAGATTCTGGAGAACTGAGGCAGGCAATCAGCCACGTGGGACATCCTAGAAAGGTCTCCATTCACAGAAAAAAGAAAATTAAAACAATCCTGCTTCTTCAACCCATTGTTGTCACAGAACACTGCCTCTCAGCCTTTTCTCTGTACCTCTCTCACCTATTTGGATTTTTTTTGTTTATGAAAGACTGTGTCTTGCTCTTTTCCACCTACCGTTGCATATTACCTTCCCTGTGTATTTACACTCAGGGCCAATGTTGTTTTTAATGGTTGCATCATGTTCTGTCCTGAAACTTAATTTATGTAGTGATCCCTCAGGTGTCCCGGAAACTCTCCAGACTGGACAGAGTGATTTGGCAAAGATTGGGGTTTGTGCATGGGTTGGGGGGGTGTCTCTGAGCCAGGGGCAGGTAGTCATTGCTGAGTTCTCGTGTCAGAATCGTCCTCGGGCTCACAAGTGCTGGTGAAGTCACATTGGGCTCAGAGGCTGCCTAGGGCCAGGCACCCCCATCCCCAGTGGGTCCAGGGACCTCGACCACAGGCCATGTTCCTCTCTCCTGCTCTGCTCTGGTCAGACCCGGAGCAGGAGCCACTGTATCCGAGGTGCTCTTTATAAACTTAGGGTGCTTCTTCTTTTTTTTTTTTTTAAGATTTTTTGTATTTATTTGACACAGAGAGAGAGATCACAAGTAGGCAGAGAGGTAGGCAGAGAGAGAGCGGGAAGCAGGCTCCCTGCCAAGCAGAGAGCTGGATGTGGGTCTCGATCCAAGGACCCTGAGATCATGACCCGAGCTGAAGGCAGAGGATTAACCCATTGAGCCACCCAGGTGCCCTGGGGTGCTTCTTCTTCTTTTTAAAAAAGATTTTATTTATTTATTTGACAGACAGAGATCACGGATAGGCAGAGAGGCAGGCAGAGAGAGAGAGGAGGAAACAGGCTCCCTGCTGAGCAGAGAGCCCAAGGCGGGGCTCGATCCCAGGACCCTGGGATCATGACCTGAGCCGAAGGCAGGGGCTTTAACCCACTGAGCCACCCAGGCGCCCCTGGGGTGCTTCTTTTTAATAAGGTTAAGATCTTTGATAATTTTGCCATCTACATTCCCTGGTTTCACGGAGCTTGGGGTTTAAGGAAGGACGCAGTTCTCCATCATAGGCCCTGCAAGAGACATCATTATAAAATGCTACGGGCAGTGACCACTACCAAAGGAATTTGGGGGGGTGGCCTCTGGAGCCCTGGGGAGCTGACCGGAGCTGTTTTCTGAACTCCCGCGAGCATGGAGAAGGTGACCACATCTCTGCCCCTTGGTTCACCTGAACTCCTTACACTCACGTGCTGCCTCCTCCCAGCCCGTGACAGTCTCTACGTGTCCCCCGGATACTGACTCCTGCCCTGTCTGCTCACCAACACTCTGGCCGCAGCTTCCCCTAGACCTCTCAGCCTGGAGCCTGGGGGTTGGCAGTATCTCACCCTGAGAAGTGGCACCCGGGAGGAGGAGCAGTTTTGGAGGGAAGATGCCAAGATCCGTCTGGACAGACTGTGTCTGAGGGGCCTCTGGTATGAGCAGTTGGCTCTGTGGGTCTGAAGCACACGACGTGCTCCT